AATGACTACTCCTGCCCATTTTTTATTTCTGTTTGCATGGAATATCTTTTTCCATCCTTTCACTTTCGTTCTGTGTGTATCTGTGTTGGTGAGGTATGTTTCTTATAGTCAGCAAATAGATGGGTTATATTTTTAGTCCATTAGGCCATTCTGTATCTTTTAATTAGATAATTCAGTCCATTAACATTCAAGGTTATTATTGAAAAACCATGACTTGGCCTTGCCATTTTTACATAAATATTCATATTGTTTGTTTTGCATCTCTTCTGTACTCGTTAGGAGGTTTCCTGCTTTCACATTCTTTCATGATGTTGGTCTTTCTCTATTTCTGTGTGTGGTATATCTTAAGTACCATTTGTAAGACTGTCCTTCATTTATAAATGAACTTTTCACTGGGTACAGTATTCTGGGTTGACATACAGACTTTTTTGTTTTAGGGCTTAGACTGTATCTCTCCATTCTCTCATAACCTGTAGGTTTCTGGTGAGAAACCTGCTGTAAATGTAATTGGAGTTTCTTTAAAAGTATCTGATGGTTCTCTCTCTCATATACTTTAGTGTCTTTTCTTTATGTTTTATTTTTGAAAGTTTGACTATAATGTGTTGTGGTGAATATATTTTCTGATACTGTCTATTTGGGGTTCTTTGCACTTTCTGTACTTGGATGTCCATATCTTTCACTGTTTCTTTTTAATCTGAGAGTCTCAGGTAATATTTTAGACTTTTGAGGCTGTATCATCTCTATTGTAAACCATTAAATTCTGCTGTTGTAAAGCTAAACAATACTTGGAAAATACAAAAGTAAGTAGGAGGCTGTGTTCCAATAAAATTTTATTTATGGACACTGGACTCTCATATTTGAATTTCATGGAATATTCTTATGTTGTGAAATACTATTATCCTTTTGATTATTTTCAAGCATTTTTAAATGTGACGTTGGCTGCCACATACAGGTGATCACCACAGTATGATGATTTTCAGAGTAATGTGACCAGGGAGAGAGTAGCTCTGGGGTTTGCAGGTGCTACTTAGAGAATAAACAGCACTCCACTTTTATTTTCTTCTTTGGTTTATGTGTTTTTCATTATTTTTCTGTTCTAGGTAAAGCCTCGTCCTTCCCTCTAGTCTGCTTATTACATTGGCTGTGGTGTTGATTTCTAATAAAAATAACATCAAACCAGACTTCATCTTATTTTCCTTAGGAAAAAAAATGGAGAGTAAGATAACTTTATTTTTGAGTTGATGGAATAACACAAATCCCATGATTTAAGTATTCATCATTATAACTTTTAAGCAATCTAAATGAATGACTTTGAGGTATTTGTATTATAATCTTATTCATTTGTCTAAAGCACTTAGATTGATGAAGCGCATGGTGAATTTGGTAGGAACTGGCTGACCCAGGAATAGGTAGTATCTGAACAAATCAAGACTTTTATCTCCCAGACCAGCATTTCTCAGCTAATCATCATCATCATCAGGGTGGCTACTGTTTATTGATCAGAACTTGGGTCTTGACTATTCACTGTTCATGTACAATTACATTTAGTCTTCATAGCACCTTCATGAAGTAGGCATCATTGCTATATTTATTTTTCTAGTAGGAAAACTGGAACTTCGGTCATTTATGTTTCATGATTCCGTGGCAGAGGTCGGTCAACATTTTCTATAAGAGACAAGAAAGTAAATATTTTAGACTTTTGAGGCTATACCATCTCTGTTGTAAACCATTAAATTCTGCTGTTATAAAGCTAAACAGTCCTTTGAAAGTACAAAATAAGTAGGCTGTGTTCCAGTAAAAGTTTATTTATGGACCCTGGACTCTCATATTTGAATTTCTTGGAATAGTTTTATGTTGTTTTTGATTGTTTTCAATCATTTTAAAATGTAGAAACATTGTTCCCTTGCAGGCCGCATAAGGACACTGGAGGTGGCAAACAAATCTGATCTCCATGATGGGAGTAGGCAAGGAAAGAGAGTTGGGAAGAACACACATGCTGGGAGGGCAGCCTGTATGTGGGGCTGAGGACACAATGCATGCATTCCAGTTTGAGGAAGCTCAAGATAAGGGGAGATAGTGATGGCCCTAGTTATGACCTTGTAAGACTAGGATTTGGACGGCGCCGCAGCTCAATAGGCTAATCCTCCGCCTGTGGCGCCAGCACACCCAGTTCTAGTCCTGGTCGGGGTGCTGGATTCTGTCCTGGTTGCTTTTCTTCCGGGCCAGCTCTGTGCTAAGGCCCGGGAGTGCAGTGGAGGATGGCCCAAGTCCTTGGGCCCTGCACCCGCATGGGAGACCAGGAGAAGCACCTGGCTCCTGGCTTCGGATCAGTGCAGTGTGCCGGCCACAGTGTGCCGTCTGAAGCAGCCATTCGAGGGTGAACCAACGGAAAAAAAAAAAAAAAAAAAGGAAGACCTTTCTCTCTGTCTCTCTCTCACAGTCCACTCTATCTGTCAAAAAAAAAAAAAAAAAAAAAAAAAAAATGTAGGATTTTGGACTGTGGCCTGATAGCAGTGGAAATCCATGTACAGTATTAAGCAGAAAAGTGACAAGCACAATTTGTCTTTGTAAAAGATCACTGGTTGATTAATACAGGATGGATTGCAGGGGTCAGTAAGAGTAGAAGTAGAAGATCCAGTTAGGAGGCCAGAGAAGTGGGCTTAGGAGCAATGATGGTATCCATGGGTGACTGCGGCAAGAACCATTTCATGACAACAGTTTTTCAGGTCATCATGAAGATCAGTTTTGCAGATGAGGAAAATGTGGCTGGGAGAGATTAAGTGTCTTGCCTGGGGTCAGCGCTGTGACTTAGTGGATTGAGCTGCCAGCATTGCTGGCATCCCATAGGGGTGCTGGTTCGAGTGCCAGCTGCTCCACTTCTGATCCAGCTCCCTATTAATGGCCTGGGAAAGCAGCGGAAGATGGCCCAACTCCTTGGGCCCCTGAATTCACATGGGAGACCCAGAAGAAGCTCCTGGCTCCTGGCTCCTGGCTGGCTTTGGATCAGCCGAGCTCTGGCCCTTGTGGCCATTTTGGGAGGGAACCAGAAGATGGAAAAATATCTCTCTCTCTGCCTCTCTGTAACTGCCTTTCAAATAAATAAATAAATCTTAAAAAAAATTGTCTTGCCTGGTGACATAACTAATAGAGATAACATAAAGGTTAAGACTCAGTCTTCTGACTTCAAGTTCAGTGCCTTTTCCTCTGTAGTGTGAAATTCTTTACGTTTGCAGATAGCAATTATGTTTATGCTAATGCATGAACCCTGCCTCTGAGGAACTACTCTGTTCTTGTTCTTTCTCTCACAATTCTTTTCTTCTGGAGCAAGTGCTTATAAATGAGGACAGTGCCTCTTGGGCTGGGGTTGTTAATTTTCATTTCCTGGAGAGATTCATTTCATCGTTGAGAGAAATAGCCTCTTGTTCAAATAATAAAAAGGCCAAAGATGATATTGTGGTAATGATTCGATGTTATTTTTGTGCTGGTGTGGGACTGGTAGCTGAATGCTTACAAGGAGGAAAGGTCAGACTTTCTTAGAATCTCTGCAGCTTTCTCTCCCAAGTGAGAAATGGCGCATTCTCTCCTCCTCTTGGAGAAATCATGTGTCTGGCTCGGCCCTCAGTCATTCAGCAGCTCTGAGACGGGCCTGCATCCACGGGCTGGGGCTTGTGCTGCGGCAGCCGTGAGGGTGGCTCTGCCCGTAGTGCAGGAGGAGAAGCGGACTTCAGAAAGGAGGCAGAATCTTGGTTTCGGCTGGCATCTCATTCAGATTTTGCTTTCTATTACTATTTGTCAGTTTCTTCCCTTCTCCCTTTACAGGAGAATCCCTGTGAAGTTCTGGTGTGCGTCTTAGGCATCTCTGCCCACACCATGGTGCACAGTACATTGCAAACAGTTAGTAATACAGATTACATTACTTGTCATTTTGGGCGTCCATGCTGTACAGTGAAAGACTTCCCCAAAAGTCAGAATTTTCTAGTCTAAAATCCCTCCCTCCTCTGTCTTTCAGGTATATGTAAATAGATAAATAGATATATTTTTCAAAAAAAAAAAAAAAAAAACCACAAAGGGATAGACATTGTGACACAGTAGGTGAAACTGTAGCTTGGGACACTGCATCCTATATCAGAGTGCTTCTGATCCAGCTTCCTGCTAATGTGTTTGGGAGATAGCAAATGATGGTTCAAGTTCTTCCGTCCCTGCCACTCATGTGGGAGACCTGGATCAAGTTATGGTTTCCTGGCTTTAGCCTACCTGAGGCCTGGCTGTTATGGACATTTGGGGGAGGTAGATAAAGATTCTTTCTGTTTCTCCTTCCAACCTCCCTCCCTCCCTTTTAAATAGATGAAAATCAGTAAGTAAGTCTTTTATAAAAGTAATAATCACAGTTAACAAAGAAAAAACTTGGGAAATCCTGAAAATGTGATTTTCAAGAGCAAGCAATGGGCCACATTCAGATGTCTATTGAAGGTCTCCCATTGCACAACTTTGGTCACCAGTTTTTCCCCACTGCAGTTCATTAGACTTAGATTACATGTCTTCATGTTGCAAAGTAGGCACTTAATAGACATATAGAGACCTACTTTATTTCTGAGACTGATTTTTTTAATTCTCTGCAATAAATAAAATTATTTACATTTGGAGATATAGGCCCGTCAGGCCAAAGTTGTAAGTACAGGGGTTGTGAAACACTCTCTCCTTTTCCTCATTTTCTTCATCAGCTTTGAACACTGGTTAAATGCTAGGCATCGAGTTAAGGTCACACACGAAGTCATATATGATATCTGATATCAAATATATTTCAGTCTAGTGGAGAGATAAAAGGAAATCATAACCACTTGGAGTGGGCAGCCAATGAGAACCTCACCCTGATTTAGCAGGCAGGCCCTCCCTGAGGCCTGTGCCACTGAACTCCTGAATGTTGTCAAGAGTAATTCAGATAACTGTGCAGTTATGGATGAATGAACGGGTTTTGCAGTTGCCTTTCTCCATTTGTGCAGGGTGGAGATGTCTGCCCAGAAGTTAATTTCTAACAGGACCTCCCAGCAAGCTGCATCCAACTCTGATTACACCTGGGAATATGAGTATTATGAGATTGGACCAGTTTCCTTTGAAGGACTGAAGGCTCACAAATGTAAGTGCTATAGAGTTCTTCATTGTAAGCATAATATGTATTTGATTTAATCTGTGAAAATCTCAGTGGCTACGTCTAAACATCCTGTCTTATGACTCTGTCCTCTACCTCCAAAACCCCACAAAACACCCTCTGCATCCATAGGCTGATTTCCCAGGATCATATTACGAACGGCCCCTGATGATTCTAATTAACAAAGGATGTAAAAGATTCCCTTAATGGGGTAATGTGCATCACCATCAGCCGTAGATTGAGGTGTTTTTCAAAGCAACAACCATTCCAGCTCCCCCAGACGGTGGATGTTTGAACTCTTAAAGCATATGTACAAAAATAGAATCTGGAACCACTATTTGAAGAGCTGTTTTGTAACACATAGTCGACAGCATCCTTTCAACCAGATTGGTTTTCCAGCGCTGTGGCAATGAGTCTGTGTGTGTGCACACTATTGAACGAGAATAGCCTGCGATCATTCCTAATTCCGTGTTAACGGCATGAATTGTGTTTCATGTTATTAGAGTGATCAGTGATCCAGCACAGAGCAAGGAACTGTTCAGCTCTGTTGATAACTGAACACTGAGTGGTCACCATGAATCATCTTTGTTTTATTAAGTAGAGCTGGCATCGGAGACAATCTCCTCCCAGATCCTGTCTTGATTTCCCTGCAAGTCTGAGGGGTGTTCAAAAAAAAAAAAAAAGGAAAAAATGCATATTACGAAAAATGGTTCATGATTTCAAAACTTTTTGTACCAAAACAAACTTACCTTTTAATTCCATTGTTCTCCACAAGCTTTTTACACTCTTCTGGTCTGCCTGAGGTGTTCGTTTCACATTGAACACGTGCAACACTGGACACTGAGACAGAGTGGTGGGACCCTTAGGAAATGAGGGAGCCTGGAGTCTGAGACACAAGTGGGGTGAAGGAAAGGTGTTCACTCCTCTGGCTGCTCCCCCTCTGACCTGCCTTGGCATTCTCAGTCTCTTGCACCCACCTGCTGTTGTCCTCTGCAAGGAGGACTTTCTATTTTTGTTTCTTAAACAAAACTCACATACCCTTCCCACCAGAAGCAATTAGCAATAAGTAAGTGATTTTATTCATTCTTTATTGATGTCTATTCAATGTTTTATAGGAAGAAAGCACATGAATCCCTTAGGATGGGCGTCATTGATTATTCGATGGAAGGCTGTTGCAGGCTGAGTGCGAATTCACCCTTCCTAATTTGCCTAAATGCCTTCATCTGATGTTTTGCTGGGATAATCTTTAGGTCAGGACCCTTGCTGGTCATGAATTATGATGGAAATCAAAATGACTGGGTGGATTTCTATCTATTTCCCTGTAACATGGGCTGTACTTCAGCTTTATTTGTGTGTCCATTCACTCCTATCTCTCTTTCTCAGTTTAAGGGGCACAGAAGACAAGCCTGTTGCTTTAGTTTTGATTGGAACCTTTCTGGAGACAACTGAGGGAAATCTGTTCTTTTTAAAAATATTTAAGGATTTATTTATTTAATTGAAAGAGTTACAGAGAGAGAGGGAGAGGAGATAGAGTGAAAGAGAGAGATATCTTTCATCCACTAGTTTGTTCCCCAGATGGCTGTAACAGGGCTGGGCCTGGGTCAGGAGCCAGGATTTTCATCCAGGTCTCCCACTTGGGTGGCAGGGGCCCAAGTACTTAAGCCACCTTCTGCTGCTTTTCTCAAGCCATTGGATGCATCAAAGACGGCAGCTTAACCTGCTACTCCCTCTTTTTTAAATTTGTAAAAAATGTATTTATTTGAAAGGCAGTGAAGCACACAGAGAAAGAGACAGACAGACGCACATACATACAAAGAGTGATCTCCCCATCTCTGGTTCACCTCCCAGATGCCCACAACCACTGGGATTGGACCAAGCTCCTGGAACTTAGTCCAGATCTCTCACATAGGTTACAGGGACCCAAGTACTTGAGTTGTCACCTGCTCTCTCCCAGGGTGCACATTAGCAGAAAGCTGCTGTGGAGAGTGGAGCCTGATGTTGAACCCAGGCACTACAATGTGGGATGCTGGCATCCTAAGCAGTGGCTTAACCATGGCACCAATTACATGCTCCTGAGGAAAACCTTTTTTCGAGCCTATTATATTCTAGGAATAATTTCAGTTGGGAAAACAAATCCTGCAAAGTGTGGGCAGAGATGTGACACATTATTGTACTGACTATATCATTAGTAAGGACTGCTTTTGTTTTAACATTCACATCATGAAAAACAAAACTGCCCAAGTGAGCACATCTCGTTCTGATGTAAGAGATCTAAATGAGGTAGAGAACTGTAGCTTCAGGAGTCTGTTAATAAATGAGACGCTCAGAGCAGAGCAGAACAGAAAACAAACAAACAAAACCCCTGATACTCCGGCAAATGAAAAGATTACATTGACTTTTTCATGTGTGTACCAGTACAGTCTCTTCCATTGTAAAATGCTGCGATTCTGACCTTCAAGTGTGACTCCTTATTCTGTTAAGAAAAATGCAAATCCAGTTATGTTCAGATTCCAAAGAATAGAAGCGGGACATTTCAAGAGGAAGCATTTAATGAAGGTAGGAATGACCCTAACAGTTATTTTAATTTGCTTTACTTGTAATGGATCATACTGGGCAATAGTAACTACATTCTTAGACTAATTTTCTCTGCCTGCTGAAATTAATATATCTACCTCCAGGCATAGGCATTGAGCAGAGTGTTTAAGACACTGCTTGGGAAACCTGCATTCCGTATCAGAGTGCCTGGGTTCGAGTCTTAGCTCTACTTCTGATTGTAGGCTCCTGCTGCTGTGCAGTCTGAGTCCGCCAGTGATGGCGTAATTAGTAGTACTCATGTGAGAGAACCAGATTAAGTTCCAGGCTGTCTGCTTTGGCCTGGCCCAGCCCTGGCTGTTGTGGGCATTTGGGGAGTGAACCAGCAGATGAAAATCATCTCTTTCTTTCTCTGTGCCTTTAAGTAATATGAAAATAATTTAAGAAATGATTCTCCCCTTCAAAGCATCTTTCATCTATGAAACAGTCTCCAATGTCATTGTGAATTCTCCTTTGGCCTCAGTTGTGAATCTGGTATTAAACATTATGATGCATCAGAAATGGACATACTTGTGATATACATTTGGCACCAGCATAGGGAAGTTTCATTCATTTTTCCAACATATGAGAGTACCCCATAAAGGTTGTGGAAAATGGAATTAAAAGATAAGCTTATTTTGGTGCAGAAATTTTTTTAAATTAATGCATATTTTTTCATAATGCATATTTCTATGAGTTTTTTGAAGACTCCTTTTATTTATTGAACACCTGTAATGAAGAACACATCACCTCTCAGCCTCTTGGCTAAGACCAAATGTCATGAAGAACACTACTCTAAGCACTGGATATACAACAGTGAACTAAACAGACAAAAATATATTTTCTTATAGAACTTGTATCCTAGTGGGAGAGACAGACAAGAAATAAACCCAATTAGAAGATGATTTAAAAGTGTCAAAGCAAGTGGGGAATGAGGTTATGGGATGTAGAGGTGAAAGAATAGGTAAAGTGGCCATGGAGCACCTTACTGAGGAGGAGGAATTTAAGCAAAGACCTGAAGAAGTGAGGTATTAAATTATAATATTTCTGGGGGAAGAACATTCCAGAAAAGTCTCCACGGTAAGAGTGAACTTGAACCTGCAAGGAACCAGAAGGAGGCCCACATGGTGCTAGGTGGAAAGGGGCAGAGCAGCACGAGACAAGGTTATAGGTACAGATCAGAGCATGGAAGGCCTTTGAGGCCATGCCAGGGACTTTCTTTACTCCAAGAAGTCATTTGAAGGTTTGGAGCAGAGAAGTGGCATCTGGCTTAGGTCTCAGTAAGATGACTCTGCAGCTGGGTGATGAAAGGAAAGAGATCAGAAGTAGAGACCAGCAAGGAAGCTAGTGCCTTGGTCCAGGAAGCTGACGATGGCAGCTTGGACCAGGGTGAGAGCAGTAGAGTGGTGAGAAGTGCCTAAGTTCTGGATATTTTGAAAGATAGGTCTGACGAGATTTGTCAGTGAATTGGCACTGAGGTATAAGGGAAAGAGAAGCACCGAGGATGGTTTGCAGGTCTGTGACCTGGCAGAATGGCATTCCCATTATCCAAGATGAGGGAGAGAATGGGAAAAGTGGGTTCAGAGAGGAACCCCAGGATCCCTCATTTTGGACATGTTCAACTGAGACACTAATTAGACGCCTAAGATAACATGGCAGAGGGAGGTGTGGGGGGAAGGTGTAAGTTTAAGAGTCGTCAGCATGCGAATGGTATCCAGAGCCAAGATATGGGACAAGTGAGTATAGGCAGGAAGCTGGAGAGGTCCGGGCGCTGAGCCTTGGGGTGCACTCATATTTAGAAGGTGGAGGCCTGAGAAGGAGGTGGTGAGGAGCCTGAGAGGATGGACAGAAAGCTAGGGGGGAAACACGGCAGCCGGGAGCTGTGGTTTCCGGGAAGTAAAGGAAGTAAGCGGGTTTCACGTATGAGCCATTGGTCTGTGCTAAAGCAGCTTTAACTCACTGGCTGTGACCACTGGATTTACAGTGTAAATGATTACATGGTTCATTCTGAGCAGGTGGAGGGAGAGAGAGTGGAATGAGTGGTTGCTTTGGTCCATCCCTAGAGAGGAAATAGGATGCATGGAAAACAGGATCATGTCGGCTCTCACCTCTCTTATTTTGTTCCCTTCATTAAAGGTCAGGTTTAGTTGGTGCGTGATTTCTGGAAGTTACCTGTTAATAAAAATCATTTCAGAAGGCAGAGTTCTGTTCAAGAGGAACGTGGATAAGCAGCGCTATGGAAAGCCTTCTGCCATGGGAAAAACTAAGCCATGTTGTCAAGGAAATACTTGGAAATATTATGGGATCATGAGGATTCTCAAATTCTAACCACAGCCCTCCTCCTCTCTGCTCTGCCCCTGTCCCCTCCGTGACTTATCTAAGGACTGCGACCTTCCCATGTTCATTGCTGGTTTTTGATCATCTCCCTGGGGAAGAAGAGTCGACCAGACCAAATTAAAGGGCCTCCCTTCTCCACTCTACCCACCTGTTGGTTAGAGAATTGGAGGACTGATGGGGTGAGCCCACCTTGGCAATGTGAAAGCTAGCCTCATAACACCCTCTTAGCAAACAGCTCTGAGAAATATCAGTTATTGTGATTCTATTAAATTCCGAATCAAGGACTTACATGTAGCATTGGCATGTCATTTCAAAATTTGTTTTTGTCATGCAGGCAGCAGATAAAGTATAATATGCAGAAATGTTATTTATTTGTACAGTGTTTCTTCACAGTCCGTGCCCAGATAATTGAGATTTCATTTTTCTATCTTGGTTGCACTTGAATACCTGTGTTTTTAGTACTTGTCCTTAGGTCTTTCTTTATGCTTCGTTTCCACTGTATTAAAAGGAAGAGTCTACAATTGTGGTTTCTTTGTCAGTTATGGTTAAGATCTAGGAAAGATGCATTGGTTTTGCATCTTAAGAGCTGAATAAACATTCCTATCCTCTAGGCAATAGTATGCCTAGGATACATGTATGAATTATGCAGAGTACATTGCTCAGCTGAATGTTTCACTTTAGGAAAAGTGCTGGGTATACATAATTTAATTAGAATAATGCTTTGCATTTAAATAAATGTGCAAGCTCTATTTTTTTTTAAATTGCTAATCATCCTGACTGTATTCTCACTGAACTTCTTAGTATATACAACAGAAAATATAGAATGATTTAACTCTGTTGTCCCCCGGATTTGAGACCCTCCTGGGGATGTCCCAGGTTCTGTAAACAATTTACTCTAATCCCTGTCCCAGAAACACATACACATGCTCCTTGACTGATGATCATAAGTTGAAATCTTGTAAATCCAAAAATTATTTAACAGTCTGACCTGCACAATGTCCTAGGGAGTGCTAGTCATTTACACTGATGATTGTGAGGTTGACTGTGAGCTGCAAGTGACTGCCATTGTCCACAGTCAAGACAGAGTATCCAATAGTGTAGCGCTCGCTAGCCCAGGAAAAGGTCAACTTCAAAGTATGGTGTCTGTAGAACGTGTCTCACTTTCACACCATTGTCAATCATCAAATGATAAGCCAAATCATTGGTAAGTGTGGGACCATCTGTCCTTGTGACTGTTACACAGATAGGACAAAGGAAGGGCCGATTTACAGACAGAAGCCCGGATAAAATGTCATGAGGTCAAAGGAGAGGGAGCACATCAGTGAGGGAAGTTAGTGCAGGCCTTGTGAAGGAGATGGGGTCATGGACAGACTTGGGAGGCTGGAGAGCCTTTCATTCGCTCTTAGATGAGGAAGGTTGTGAGTGTGGGTATGAGGAAGCTGTGGCTCAGAGCTCATGTCAACACAGGGCCACAGACGTGTCCTCTGGTCTGATTGGAAACACATGGGTTTAAAGTATGGGTAACCACAAGAAGAGGGTGCTGAGTTGAATGATAATAGGCAGCACCTATGTGGTCCCTTCTCAGGCATTGTATAAAGTGCTCCTCATATGGAAACTCTTAGTCTGAAAAGTAATCAGGTCTATGTTTGTTGACGATTCTTTCATAAAAGAACAGGACCATCAGAGCTGCGATTAAGCTGGTGTTACAGAGATGAAGCACAGGGAAAGGGAGAATGGCAGGGATGCTCTGAGGTCTTCTGTGTGTTCTTTGCAAGAACTAAATTAATCAGTTATGAACATAAAGTGCAAAATTGGGTGGATTGGGATCGGAATTGATTTCAAACTTCATGGAGCAGTCTGCAAACACTTGTCTTTTCTACCTCAGGAGAGTGAAGTAGAACCTGGAGGGCCCAGGTGGCCTACCTTCTGTCCTGGCCTCCTTCACTGAGCTATGGAAACTGAGTCCCTATTGTCTAAGTTTCTTTGTGCTACTACCTGAGAGACCTGGAGACCACGTGACTCCTCCTCCATTTCATTCCCTACATCTTATCAGTCTTCAGCTGAGTAGGGACCAAGCAGATTGCTAACTTCTCATATTTCACATGCCAGCTCCTCTCCAGAAAGCTCAGATTCTTTTGTGTTCAACTGTTCAACTGTGCAATACTAACCCCAGGACTACCTGTCTTGCAGATTCCATTGTGATTGGATTCTGGGTTGGTCTTGCGGTCTTCGTGATCTTTATGTTTTTTGTGCTGACCTTGCTGACCAAGACGGGAGCTCCACACCAAGAGTAAGTCTAGGCTGTTCTCAAATGTCCATTGTGCAGCCCAGGGAACTAAAGAAATAGACACTGGGACTTAGGGCTGAGGTTGCCACTACTAGACGGAGAGGAGGTTGGTTACGAATTTGCTAACTGACCCAGGTCTCATGGGTTCCCATGTTCCTCCCGGTCCCCTTCCCCTCATTTCTGAGGCTTATTTTCAAGTAGAATCTTGGGACATTCAGAGTTTCTTACCCCTTTCCTACAGTTTTAGTGAATTCCATTTTGATTTTATATTGAAATGCTTATTAACTAGTATGTATTTTCTCTGAGTAGGATTTATATGAATAAAATTAAAATTAAAAATAGCAGTAAAAGTGATGGCAAAATTAAGATGAAAACTGGCCTTAAAAATATTCTAAGGACTGTAGAAGTAATTGTTACTAAATAAATAAAATAAATGAAATAATTACTGACAGTAATCACTGAGTTCAACACTGAGTTTCCTTGTAACTAGGATAAAAGAGAAAACACTGTAGATTAAATAATTCATATAGCAGGTTAGGTTTTGGGTTCTACTTACATAACTTTAGTTTTGGGATTTGGGTTCAAGAAGGAAAGTATTAGTTGGATTTATAAAAGGTGCTTAAAGAACATTGAGTAACACCAGAAAATATCTGTTCAGTTATGGTTTATAAAAACAAGTATCTTAGAGGGTTTTTTTATATTATTCAAAAGGGGGGTGGGTGGATAATGTTTGTTGAAGACCTTATTAGCCAATCCCAGAAGGCAACAGACTGTGCTGAAATCTGTAATTGAAAGAGCTTCTGATGAAGAGATTATTGACAAGTGTGGACAAGGAGAAGGACCACCACATAGCAAGATGCAGGACCCCAGGGCTAGAAACACCAAAGGGCAGTTACCACTGCATCTCAGGGGTTGAGGTAGGGTGGCAAGCACAGCTGGATTCCAGGAGTGAGCTGAGAGAAGCTGTGACCATGGGTTGAGGGATGCACCTCACTCTACTTCCTCCTCTTCTCTCATTCTTGCTCCCCGTTGGCTGGACACAGCCAGCAGCTGGAAGCTCCATTGAAGGCCAGACCTGAACCAAGGAGGGTTGTTGAGAAGGTTGGGAGAGAAAATGGAAGGAATGTCACACAAATCCTAACATGTTTGCAGTCAGCATTTCATTGACTTCTCGCAGGCTGGCAGCGGCATTCTTTCATTAGCATCTCATCACATAGTCCCTAGTGTCTGTTGCTCATTCTTCAGGCTGCACTTGAGCATAAGAAATGCCTGGGCAAAGGCAACCATTCTTCCTACCACTCACTTATTTCCAGGTATCAAGGACTGGCAAAAAATTAAGTGCAAGCATTTTAAATGAAAGGGAAATACTATCTTATTGAAGCACACAGAGACACGTGGCTAAGAATCTCTTTAAAAACCATTAAAAATACTTCATGTCTCCCCTTTTCCCTCTCCATGTTCTCATAAACATGTGCACATGTCTTTGCTTCCATTATATTGCTTCAGGGAATTCGAAACCACAGTGTGGGTTGCCAGAATATAAGAAAAACTGAGAACAAACTCAGATGAGGGACATGCCTCACAGACTGCTCAGTAATACTACCGTACTATCTCCCTTTTCTTGGCAGGAGGGGTGGATTTTTGCTAGTTTATTGAGGTGAATTTGTGTGATATAGGAGGCAGGTGATTTTATGGATAGAAGCATCCTAGTACAAAATAGAACGTGACTTCCTGTGTTGATTAATTTTTGTCCCAACATGGCTGCCATTGTACCCAGATGTTTGCTCAAACAATATTCTAGATGTTTCTGTGAAGGAGTTTGTTGTTGTTGTTGTTGTTGTTAGATGAGGCTAACATTTAAGTCAGTATGTTATCATAATGTGTGTTGGCCTTATCCAATCAGTTGAAGGCATTAACAGGAAAAGACGACTTCCCCAAACAAAAGGGAATTCTGCTGGTAGGCAGCCTTTGGTCTCCAACTACAGCTCTTCCCTGGTCCCTGCCTGCTGGCCTTCCCTACAAGATTTGGACTTGCCAATCTCCACAGTTGCATGGTTAATTCCTTAAAATAAATCTCTCTCTTTACACACACACACACACACACACACACACCATTCTCTGGAGAATGCTGACTGATCTGCTTCTGCAGGATGTCCCTGAGAACAGCTGAGATTTTCTAGTCTTCCCATCGGCAGCTCACTTGTAGCACGAGATGGTCTCTCTTGTTGACTGCAGCTCAGAATAATGCCCAGTTCTAGAACAGGCGTCATTGTGCCACTTTCTAACAAGGTTAAGCAGAAACTCTAACCTTTTTTGCTTTTAATAAAATAAAGGGTCATCCCTCAGGGCCACACTTGAAAGGCATCTGTGCTCAGGCTGAGGCAGTATAAGACATGGCATTTGGTTACAGTCTGTTGTAATAGAAAACTTAAAGAATCAGACATGTGGAAAAACCCTTAAGTGAATCCATTAAAAAAGGCTTTTAGAGTGAGCAAACTTGACATTTATTTGGCAGGAATTTTCATCTAAAATAGATATTTTTTCCATGTAGCCCACTTTCATAAAAATAACCACCAATTTTAAGCTTGTCTTTGATAATTAGGAGCTGGCAGGGGGCGGAGGAAGGGGTGATATGTCATTCAGAGTAATGATAATAGTAGCCAGGTTTTTTGCGTGTTTATTGTATGCCAGCATTTACTTATCACTTTATAAGTGCACACATAATTTCACTAAGTCCTCACAGGAGGATGAATTAAGTTCTATAAGTGTTCCCTCTTTACATGAGAAAAATGAGGATAATCACGTGTCTAAGACCTCATGGTTTAAAAATAAGCAGCAGAGCCAGGCCTCAAACTCAGACCCTGAAGTTCCTGCCACTCATGACTATGGTACGGTCTCTCAGGTGGATATTTCCAGTCTCCTCCTGGTGAACAAGAGGTGTTAGACAGAAGATAGATTTGTTTCCTTCTGTTGCACAGTGGACCAAGCCCAGGCTCTGGGTCCCATATGCCAGGTGAGCTGCCTGAGACGTGGGGCCTCCTTTGTAACCTCTGTATGCATGGCACTCCTCACATATATAAAGGAAAGAACACCGTCCCCTAGGGCTATGATAAAGATGAAGGGGGAAGCCACAGCCTGTGGGGCTGCTGGCTTACGCTGGGCTCCCAGGGCCCCTCAGCAAAGGTCCATCACTTGAGTGAGTTGAAGAGCTTGGGTGCAGAGCAGGAGGGAGATGGAGAGGAGCCCACCCTCCCACGGGACGCCAGGTCTTGACCATTCCCTATGAAACAACACTGGTACAAGCATCACCTCATTCTGCCTGAACTTCAGCTTGGCCTTTAAACAGAGGGATGAACTGAGGAAGACGTTTACATGGAGAACCCTAGGTGTGGGCTAAAAGGACTGGCATGTCTTAATTTTGACTGCTTTATGTGTCAGGCTCTCTGAGCTATCTTTCACAGAGGCCAGATACTCCCTCAAGTAGATGTGAGGCAGCCTCTTTTTGGAACACATCACTCCAACACTCTGGATAAGGTAGCTGGTCAAGGCTGGAAGCTCAAATGGACTAGTGCTAGGTTGCCACTTGATTCAGTCTCTTCTTCCCTGAATGTACCTCAGGACAGGGCTCCTCGGCTCCCTAGGGTTTCCTCACTGCTGACACATGGAACAAGTAGGAGCATACTCCTGAGAGCAGTGAGACACAGTGGGCAGACACCACTAACCCTGCCTCCAGCCCTGTGCTCACACTCAGGGCAGACCTCGCTCAGGACCAGCGTCTTCCCTGCACAGCCAGCCCTGTGCCTGAGGATCATTGTCTTTTTTCTTTTTTTTTTAAGGTTTATTTATTTATTTATTTATTTATTTTAAAAGCAGAGAAGCGGAGAGGCAGAGAGAGACAGACAGACAAATAGACATTCATCTTCCATCCACTGGTTCACTCCCCAAATGGCCACAATGGCTGGAGCTATGCCGATCTGAAGCCAGGAGCTTCCTCTGGGTCTCCCACGTGGGTGCAGGGGCCCAATGACTTGGGCCATCTTTGGCTGCTTTCCCAGGCCATAGCAGAGAGCTGGGTTGGAAGTGAAGCAGCCGGGACTCGAACTGGTGGTACCCATATGGGATGCCAGCACTGCAGGCAGCGGCTTTACCCACTACACCATAGCGCCAGCCCCAAGGATCAATTTCAAAACAGAACTCCAGGCAGCCACCAGGAATCAACCATGGTTTTCTTGAGACAGCACGTTTGCTATCCCTGGCAGGCTTCCCTCCAGCAGTGTTTGGTGGCTGGAGCCAAGATTCTCTGAGCACAGCACTGTTGACACCACAATAAGATGAGCATTTTTTTTTTCCTTTCTGAAGTTTTCAACTTGTGGTCATGTTACAATAGGAACTTCAGTTCTGATGGCCTCTGTTAAAGAGGGAATGTGAAAAAATCAGACTAGGCTATAAGATGGTAGTGAACAACTCTGATTCTCAGGATTGCACCTGTGAGGTGTGCTTTTTGCTCCGTCTACATGTCTTCTGAGGCTGGCGAGGGACTAACGGAAGCTTCACCACATGTGGCTGTGTTGTCTTCATCACTCAGCTTCTCGGGCTGCTCTGATGGGAGACCCCTGGCTCTTCCACCCGGAAGTGGCACAGGTGTGGAACCAGTCATGCCCACCTGACTGCCGCAGGGTGGGGACTGTGGTGTCTGTGTGCCCAGAAAAAGGGGGCCAGATCTGGAGAGCACTGGGATGTTTCCTGCAGAGGGAGAGAGACTCTTTGAAGCTGACGTCACCTTTCTTAAAAGCTTTTCCATCTGAGAAGCAGCTTTGATGAAGACTACTTTCTCCCTGGAATATTTGCTGTTGGGGGGGAAAGGGAGCTCTTGTCTGGATCCTTTATGGACAATGAAGAGAGGGAACCATTGTCTGTCTGGCTGCTCAGTGAGGGAGCCTTTTACTCTGTATGTCGTCTTGCTAAAGCGTTACAAGCCCCATTATCATAAATCTGCCATGTAG